GATGCATCTATTCCAGACGAGTTTATGGCAGACGAAGACCAATATCCACGTCAAAGCCACTGCACTCTTGAAGTCGACATTTGTGTCCAAAACATTCTTAATCGGCAACAAGTGCAATGTCGTCCTATTCACCACGACTTTCTAGAGCGGTCGAGCCAAATGCTTCGCAATCCTGATGATAAGTTCGTACCGTCTATGGCTGGTCTTTGGAGAGACGAAACACGTCGACGCAAGCTTCGCATGGGCCTTACCGACCCTTCTAGCAGTCCGTTCCCTGCCGAAGTGCTAGTATCAATGTCAGCAGATACGCGTGACACCAAGAAAGGCGGATGGATACATGAAGATGAATATAGGGAAATCGTTGAGGGCTTGATTAAAGAAGAACATAAGGACAGGGGTGAAGTGAGTTTTGACACATTCATCAACCCAACCGCAGGCCAAGATCGCATCAAGACTGCTGTGGAGAGCATTGAAGATCTCTATCCCGAAGTTTTGTCTACACAAAGGCTTGCGGATTATGGCCTGGAGCGTCAGGTCGAAACATTTGAGGAAGACAATGTTCATGATTTAGATGGAGCTGGACTACTATCGGATGACCTGGACCCACTGCCGCAGTATCAGCATGATGATTCGATCCTTAGCGATGATGACAGCCAAAACCAAGCAGATGCAGACAATCAGTCCGACGATGAGGAGCTTCCAATGGACCCTCTTACTGTATCCTTGCTACAAGCCTCCAATGAAATGACGGAGAACGGTACACTCATAGATGAAGGTATCGATCTGATTGATCCAAGTGACGAGGACGAGCCACCAAATTCCAGCAACCCCAGCTCCATGCGCAAGCGCCATATCGAGTTTACCGATGAAGACTACAGCAAGCGTCAACGGATTTTACAAGAAACGCAGGGTACCGTTGGTCGTGTCTCGTTCCGTAATGCCCTCGGTGAAGACAGCGATAGAGCGGCAGCCGAATTTCCGAAAGGCGTTTGGGAAGAGGCGCCCCCAGCAGGTCAGGTTTCTCAGGCAAGCATCAAAGCTCAAGGGTTTGGGGGGGCTACTACACTCTCTTTTCCTGTAGTGAAAAATTCGAATGCACCTGAGACTGTTCATCGCCTCAGCCAGTCAGGTTACTCTAATTCTCAGGAGGGCCCGAAGACACCTGGGGCTAAGTATCTTAACGTTAGGGCGTCACAACGCTCCCCTATTACTCCTTGGACACACCAAAAGACGTCACCAGCAATGCCTAGTAGCAGTACACCAAAAGCTCGCTCGCAAGCCACAGCTTTGGTGATGAAGCTAGACAAGTCCCGTCGACATCATCAGCCTACAGTATATTACGCGTGTCTACCTCCAAGGGTTGAAATGATCGAAAACACTATGATGAATGCTGGCTTACCACCAGTAATCTATCAAGATGCATATTATAGTAATGAGAAAGACGTTCCGGACCGTCCGCGTGAATACGCAGGTAGGGAGTTCAAATTGCAGAGTACCACTTTGCCATATCTTCCTCCATTCGACCCAGTTGGCGCATCCCTTGCAAACATTGGAGAATACCCGCCGGTTGTGGTAGACAAGAGGAAACAAATTGCAATGTATCAAGCAAGGTCTAAACGTTGCAGCTTGCGCCATTGGGAGCTCTCAAGACCTCCACCTTCTTTCAAAGAAGTAGAAGATTGGACACTTCGTAAATCGAGGCAACGCAAGACAATCAAGTTCAACACGAAGACAAATTCCGCACCCATATTACACGAATTCGACCCTACGCATGATCAGTCACAGATTGAAGGCCCAACACAGAAAAATCCCAACGGCTGCAAATATTCACAGAAACAAAACAACACTAGTGTCAAGCACCAATCCCAGTACATGAGCATTATGAGCTTGGAAGTTCACGTAAACTCTCGAGGATCACTGGTACCTGATCCTGCTGAAGATGAAATACAATGTGTCTTTTGGAGCATCCAAGGCGAGGAGAACGCGGTTACTGATCGACCACGCAAAGGTATATTGTGCTTCTCTGATGAAGACGGTATAGCTGTGCGCATCGCCAAACAGGTATCAGTAGAGGTCGAGTACGAAGAGGACGAGCTGGACCTTATCAATCGCTTGGTTGATATTGTCCGTCAGTTCGATCCAGATATTCTAACCGGATATGAGGTACACAACAGTTCCTGGGGCTACCTTATAGAACGGGCCAGAATGAAGTACGAGTACAACCTTTGCGACGAGATCAGCAGGATGAAATCGCAGTCGTATGGAAGATTTGGTAAAGAGGCAGATCGCTGGGGCTTCACGCATACATCCACTATTCGAGTCACTGGCCGACACATGATCAATATTTGGAGAGCTATGCGTGGTGAGCTAAACTTGCTGCAGTACACTATGGAGAATGTGGTATTTCACTTACTACATAAGCGTATTCCACATTACCAGCATTCAGATCTTACCGCATGGTACACGAACGGGAAGCCTCGAGATCTCACCAAAGTTCTCGACTATTTCATTGGTCGTGTTCAACTGAACCTTGACATTTTAGAGGCCAACGATATCGTACCGCGTACCAGCGAACAGGCACGTTTGCTTGGCATTGATTTCTTTGCGGTCATCTCTCGAGGTTCGCAATTCAAAGTGGAGTCCACCATGTTTCGTATTGCAAAGCCAGAGAACTTTATCCTTGTCTCGCCGAGCAGGAAGCAAGTCGGTCGACAGAACGCGCTAGAGTGTCTGCCTCTAGTGATGGAGCCTCAGAGCGCATTTTATTCTAGCCCGGTACTAGTGCTGGATTTCCAGTCGCTCTATCCCAGCGTCATGATAGCGTACAACTATTGTTACTCCACTTGTCTTGGACGAATCGTTAGCTGGCGCGGCCGCAACAAGATGGGCTTTATGGACTTCAAGCGCCAACCTCAACTACTGGAACTGGTCAAAGATCACATCAACATCGCCCCAAATGGGATGATGTATGTGAAACCAGAGATGCGGAAATCCTTGCTAGCGAAGATGCTTGGTGAGATCTTAGAGACTCGAGTCATGGTCAAAAGTGGTATGAAAGAGGACAAAGACGACAAGTCCCTTCAGAAGTTGCTAAACAACAGACAACTAGCGTTGAAACTGCTGGCCAACGTCACATATGGCTATACATCAGCTTCATTCTCAGGACGCATGCCATGCTCCGAAATTGCCGACAGTATTGTTCAAACTGGTCGTGAGACCCTTGAAAAGGCGATTGCAATCATTCACGCGACAGAAAAATGGGGCGCGGAAGTCGTCTACGGAGATACCGATTCGCTTTTTATTCATCTCAAAGGGCGCACAAAAGACCAAGCATTCACAATTGGCGAAGAGATTGCTGCTGCTATTACCGCTGCCAACCCACGACCCATCAAGCTCAAGTTCGAGAAAGTATACCATCCTTGTGTGTTACTCGCCAAAAAACGTTACGTTGGCTTCAAATACGAACATAGAAACCAGAAAGAGCCGGAGTTTGATGCAAAAGGTATCGAAACAGTACGCCGAGATGGCACACCTGCAGAGCAAAAGATTGAAGAGAAGGCGCTCAAGCTCCTTTTCCGAACCTCAGACCTCAGCAAAGTAAAAAGCTACTTTCAAGAGCAGTGCGCCAAGATCATGGAAGGCCGTGTCAGCATCCAGGACTTTCTCTTTGCCAAAGAAGTCAAGCTGGGGACGTACTCCAACAAAGGGCATCCGCCGCCCGGCGCCCTCATTGCTACGAAACGTATGCTTGTCGACCCACGTGCAGAACCTCAATATGGCGAGCGCGTCCCCTACGTCGTTATTACCGGTGCGCCAGGGGCTCGGCTCATTGACCGCTGCGTCAATCCAGAAATGTTACTCCAAAACGACCATCTGGAGCTCGACGCCGAGTACTACATCTCCAAAAACCTGATCCCCCCACTCGAACGCATCTTCAACCTTGTCGGCGCCAATGTCCGACAGTGGTACGACGAGATGCCAAAGATACAACGCATACGCAACATCTCAATTCCCATTGCACCGAAATACGACAACAACGGCAATACCCTCATAAGTGGTGGACACAACGCGCTCAAGAAAACACTAGAAAGCTATATGAAATCCTTAAACTGTCTTGTCTGCCGTTCGAAACTGAGTCCCCCATCCTCTGCACACTTTTCCAGCGCTGCATACGCCATGCTCCCGCTGTGCGCAAAGTGCGTCAAACGTCCCGCTCACTCACTGCTTGCACTCAAGTATCGCATCTGGACTAGTGAGATGCGGATGAATGAGGTGGATGCCGTCTGTAGGCGCTGCGCAAATCTAGCGTGGAATGAAGAGATACGGTGCGATAGTAGGGATTGCCCAGTATTTTATAGTCGGATTAAAGAAAAGAGTCGGTTGGCGGCGTTGAGGGAGAATGTGGGGTCGGTTGTCGAGGTCATGGAAGGTATAATGGATGGTGATAATGAGGAAGAAGGTGAACATAATGGGAGACGAGGAAATGGTGACGACCTTGCATGGTAGGAGTTTCTTGTCAGTTTAGAGTGGAGCTTTGTATACCCGATTAGACTTTAATGTGAAATGTAAGAAACGACGAACGAAGTTTTTACTATTCTATGCGCAAATTAGCAGTCAGTATATCTTTTCAAGCAGATAAGAGTGTATTGTAGATCTAGACGAAGCAAAGCTGTGGATGAATTGATTTTCAGCATCGGAGGTATTATAATTTACATGTGAATATATTTTATACAACGGGGAGGAACATGCAACACAACCCGCCAGGCAGTAGATTTTACATGAAGAATCACACGAAACCCACCCATGCCCAACCACACAATATAGCACAAACATCATGTTAGCCTCAACCCACCATGCACGCTAGAAAAACACAGTTCAATCACGCCATATCTCTCGTCCCTCCGCGGCATTCTTGCTTTTTCCAATTCCCCGCCTTCCTTTTTTCCCTTTCCCACCCGCGCCCATCCTCCCATCCGCTCTCCCATCCCTCTTCCTTCCTCTCACTCCCCCAACCCCCCCAAACTCCTCCTCGGCAACCCCAACCTAACCCTCCCCTCATTAACCCTCTCCAGCGCCTCGCGCCTCCTCCTCAACGGCAAACCCTCATACTCCATCTGCAGCGTCCTCGTCCCGCGTCGCCACGCCAACACACTGCTGTCGTTGCTTTTTTGTTTCACGCATCGTGCGGTGGCTGTGGGATCCGCGGTCGTGCATAGGGATGTGGTTGAGCCTGCGTGGCTGGCGTTGTTGTCCAGATAGGGTAATTGGGGTTGCACTGCGGAGGAGTGCCATGGCGACGAGACTTTGCGGATGGATAGGGGGAAGGTGGTGCTGGATTTTAGGGCCGAGAAGAGACGCGTGGTGGAGGAGGATGTTGGACTGAGGGGTGGGGTGCTGATGGTGCTGGATGAGGAGGAGGAGAGGGAGTCGTTGAGAGAGGGGGTTGGGGACGGGGGGAGAGTGGACCAGCGTTTGAAGTAGGTCATTGCCATTTGTCGGGGTGGTGTTTGGGTTGTATGTTGGGAAGGTTGTGGCGTTGATGGTTTGGTAGGAAAAGAGCGCATAGAAAAAAGGAGTGTAAGAATTTAGAAAAAGGGTTTGTAAGAAGGGTAGAGGTTTAGATGTACATCGATGAAAGGTTTACGACAGAAATTATTTTTGGGAAACGTGGGAAGACAAATGCGCGAACCAATATTTGAGTCCTCGTGCCCTGCACCCCCCTCCCAACAAGCAAAAGTTGTTCTGAAACAAATTTGTTCTTTTTGGGCAAACAGTGGTTCATAAGCTTGCTCGCCTAAAGATTCTGTTTTTCATGGTTTGGAGGTTTGCTTTTTCTGATACGCCGTGTTTCGGAAATTATCTTCGCGCCATTTACCTTACACGGAAAGATGGTTTGTGGATGAAATGGGGTTCGGTAGTTGTAGATGAGCACCTTGGCTTTGTAGATCGTATAGGCGGCTTCGGTTCTTATCTAGCCACTATGTAGTAGGTCAAGTTTTCGAAGAAACCTTGGTCCCGCCATGGCTCTATACAATCACTAGCCCTTCTACCTCGTCAGTCTCCGGCCCCTCAAAACACTCCTTCGTCATGGTTGTAAACCCGATCCTTCTCCATACATTCTCTCTCCCTTCTAACTCCGCCTTCTTCAATACAAGTCCCGATGCATAAACCACGTCGTGGGTCCTTTTCCTGTCTCTCATAATCTCCAAACACTTCACCTCTCCATTAGGTCTTAATTCTTCGTAGTCTTCTTGTGCATCCAGCACCACAAAGCACTCTGCCCCGGGCTTATGAAGCCGGACCCTGCTATCTGGCCCATAACGTGGTATCTCCTCTTTTCCATCATCCAACCACATAATCGTTGTCCTTCCTCTGATCCTCATCTCGCCTGCTTTTACCGGCCCAAACGGATCATCCGTGGCCAGTTCACACTGCACATCCAGCACCTCTGCGAATTCGTGTGTTTGTGACGTTGGGATTTCTCCTGGGCAATAGTACCATACGACACCGCCACTGCGACTTGCCCATGACCATGAGGGAGCTAGGTAGGTTCCCGTGACGTGACGTGAGCTCTTACGTGTATCATACGCCTCCCATTGGAGTCCAAGAAGAAGGTTGTGTGACCAAATCCCTGCATAGTATGTCCCCAATCTAGGGCTGATGGCTTCTGCAAGGCTAGAGGATGCTGGTAGAATGTCTGTAGGGTATGTGAGGCTTTTGGCAGTGTAGTCCTCAATGAGGGCGGCATTTGCTTCCCAGAGATTGTTCCGGGCTTTCTCGAAGTGTTCTCTTCCCACCATAGACTGCACTGCCCCAACATTGCCAAGTTCAGATTCAATAGCAGTCTCAGTTGTTGATGCAGACTGAGATGAAGTGGAAGGAGACGAGGAAGCAACAGCGTCGTCGAATGCCATCAACGCCCTGGGCAATACCCTCTTCAAATGAGACCACGTGCTCTGAAGGCCTCCGATTTTTCCTTGTAGTAAGACCCTCTGACATTCACAGTCTACCATTTCGCCACATTCGAAATATGACTCTTCGTAATCTCCCCCAAAATGTAGGATTCGCCGCGCGAACAGCCGTTCTTGGAAACACCACGCGCGCCCCCAGTAGGACCTGGTATCCTGAGCCGGATTGAAAAGATTGTCGTGCTGCGGGTTCATCCGCACAAATACAGGAGTTCCGGGATCAATGGTTGGCTGTAAGGGCGGTGGTATAATCTTCCTTGTTCCGTAACGATTGAAGAATAGTTCAGGGCCGTGTGCGGCGATGACGAGTGCTGCTTGTGCATAGATGTGACCCATATGTGGTGCCTCGGCTGCAAAGTCGACCGGATCCCCTTGCAAGATACATAGGGAGTCTATCCATATGTAGTCATAGCCCAGGCAGAGGCAGAGCAATACAGTGTCGCGGAAGACAGGTGAGAGAGAGCCCCAGGGAACAGAAGCGAGGTGAGCCGCCAAATTAGCGGCTGTGGTTTTGAGTGGCCGTGTGTGTGACCAGCAGTGGCTGACTGCAACATAGGTGTACTGTTCGGTGGGGGAAGTGTGAAAAAGTTGAAGAGTAGGGGTACCGTATTCGGGTGCAGGGGCGAGATTTATCCGGAGTAGGCGGCTGGGAGGGCGTGCATTGGAGATTGTATTGCACGTTTTGTGATTTTGGACGCATTCATCGATCCAATTTCCGAATAGATTGAGGGTCGGGGATGAAAGGACAAAGCAGGAAATATGGGGGGATGGAGGAAAAGCTTTCCACGGGCTAGGATTTTCTGTGCACGATTAGTCGAATTTGAACTATAAAGCAAATACCAGCCTGAAGGCAGAATTTGGATATATTTTTGTCAAGACAAAGTACACTGCAGCAAGAGCGAACATACCAGGGTCAGAATAGAAATCAAGCTGAAAAACGTTCTCTTTTCTCTCCACACCCGCATGCGAGATTGGAGGCACTTGTAACCTAACTTCTAGCTTACTCTTTCCTTTCCCAAACGTAATATGCACGATCATTACGTCTGCATCCACAGGCTGTTCTGGAAATCGATCTGGTGTTTCGTCGACCAAACGCTTGTGTTGTACGAACTGACTCTCAATCCACCGCAATTCATCCCATTTGGGTTTCCAGTCGTCTGCAAACTCTTTGATTCCCTGAAGGAGAATAGAGCAAAAAGCACAATCCTTGGATCCGGAAATTAGTTTTGCTAGACTCATGACAGCCCAATATTCTCTTCCATCTTCGCCACGATACTCCATTTCAGAGGCTATGGGCGGATGAATCATCGATTTGCATGTGCCTGGGGCAGGGTCTTGGTCATCAGAGTGAATGATTAGGCTACCATTGGGGCTATGGGTTCTTTGGCTAGAATACATGATTAGTATATTAAAACATTTACCACAGTAAAGGTAAGCCGATAATTTGCGTACTTCCTGGTATATGTCCTTGGCCGGCCTATCTCATCTCTCTTGAAGCGGAGCCATCGGGTGCCGTCCCTAGTCTTTTTGCAAAGGAGACCGTTACGGAAAACCCAACTTTCCATCCCGTAAGCAACCTCATGCTGGTGCATGAGCACAGGCTTAGTCTCGCTAAGTTCGTCATCGATTGGTTCTGGTTGAGTGTCAGGTTTGGCGGTAGATGAGGAGGCCATTTTCATTCAATGATAACACATATGTTGATTTTGTGGCACTGAGTTAGCTGGATTGTGTAGAGTATACTTCCAGTCCTGACATGGAACTGGATGCGGGGAGTATCGTTGCCTGATTGCCAAGCTGCTGCGGCTGAAGAAAGAGCCATAAAGTAGCGCGGAAAGCTCCCAGCCACAAGGCTAAGATACTTTTCTAAACCAGGAGGTGTGACAGGCATTTGAGATGCAGCAAGGGTGCGAGGCTGTTATGATGCTGGACCCCTGTGTAAAAATGGTGACATGTCTTGTATAATTTGTGGTATCATGAATAATTCTACACGTTATCAAAACACAACCTAGGCATACATCTTTTTTGTAGTTCAACCCCATCCCCATAACGTCTTGATAGTATCGCCAAACGTCGCTTGGCCAGCTTCTCTCCGCTTCATGCGAGCCACTCGTTCCTCAATAAATGTTTGTTCAAGCTGCTTCGCAACACCATTTTGAGCCCTCAGCTCGCCCACTACGGCCATTCTCTCAATCTCGCGCTCTTCAGGCGACAGACTCTCGAGCTTCTTCTCGTATTCTTTCCGTGCTTCTGGTTTGATTTGGGCCCATACTTCATTTTCGTCTACAGTATTCAAATTTCCAATCTCAGCCACCTGTTCATTCTTGGCAGTTGGCGATACACCGCCCATTGCCTGCGTAACGTTACGTTTGGACAAGACGCTTTCGAACTTTGGGATAGGTCGGCCTTCTTCTTTTGCCTTTTCTATCTCTGCTTCTTGCTGCAACATGCGCTGGTACAGCTTATCGGCGTGCATCTGGATCCGTTCATCCTCTTCAGGCGAGCGGGCATCCATTGTCATGTAGCCCAGGGCCTTAAGAAACTTGGACTGGATATCGTAGCAGCGGTTGAATTTGCGCGACTCGGCGCTGCACATTGTGCCCTTGGACCACCACGTCTTGGGGTTTCGGAAGCATTCAAATTGCTCCATATACTCGAGTGCACAGTTCTCCATTGCTAATCGGCCAATCGAGGCCTTGCGGTCGTTGTAGGCATCGACTAGGTCTCGCAGCCGGTCTTGCTCCGACTTTCCGCGGTCATTCAGGATGTCTTGGGGAGTGTAGTTTTTCCAGAGATGGGCATAGCGTCCATCTTGGAACTGGGATTGAGGCGGTACCCGAGGCTTAGAGGATTCAATCTGTTCCTGGGACTGCGACGGCGGGGGTGTGGGTGCATCGGCGGGCTTTTCCTTGGGCACGGAGGGCAATGAAGGCGCCGGGCCTGTAGGGGCTTCTTTGTTGAGGAATTCGCGGAGGGAGGGATCGAGCTGATCTGACCCGGTTGGGCTGTTTTTGCTACCCCATAGCCAACCCATGATGGTGGAATGCAATGGCAGTCGTTGTGCTGCGAAACGTGGGCAGCGAACGGAATTATTGCGGGGATGATGGAGGCCAAGCAAGGGCCTGGCCATGTATGGTCAGCGCGTCGACCCTCACAACACCACCACGCGACGACAGCAGCCTCGCCTACCCCACCCCGAATTCGAATTGCTACACCACACATCGCCATGGCGCCCGTCGGTATGAGACAACAGTATCATGCTTATCTCTCCGTCTTTGTGCTGACAAATTCACAGATCGCCGCGAGCATCGACAGCAGCGCGTGCGCGGTGCTGGGTAAGACAGGCGTCATGACATGCAACCAACGACTTGGATGCTGACAGCTGCAGACCTTCCTCAGTACAGGCAACTTTTGGCTTCAGCTTCGGTGCTCTCGGCGCAGCCCCTGCTAAACAATCCTCACTTCCTCCTCTGCCACCCTCTCGTCGAACCCCAGTCCAAAGTACACCGCGCGCCCCGAATGGCTCGGCACAGCGACACAGAAGCGCGTCGCTTCAGCGCAGCAGCGCGTCAAAACGCAAGAGCACACCAAAAGAGAAGATAGCGACCCCGCGGCTGGGCAAGCGAAAGCGGGCTTCACCTGCTGCGCAGTCGGATATAGTCGAAGGGGAAGATGATGAACTGAGCCCAAACCGCGAGGAGATTGCGCGCTCGGTTGAAAAGATCAAGAGAGTGGTGGGAACTGTTTCCCCCGTACGCGAGGAACAGGACAATGGCCCGGATGAGCTCTCGGTGCTGGACGAGAGTGCGAGCAATGTGCGTGAGGCCGTATTCGCCAGATCTACCGTGATGAAACGGACACCACCTCAGGCAGCGATACAGCAGCGGGCGCTCTCCGGAAGCGCAAGGCAAAAGACACCGACCACAGGCGCAAACGAGACAACATCAGCAAAGTCACGGCGCTCCATATCAAGACGATCCAAGTCGACTGATCCCGTCCCGGAAACCCCTAGTCTACTTCCGAGCGGACAGCCACGAAAGTCGGCCTCCCGAATTGATGCCTACCTAAACACACCAGCGGCGGCGCCAGCCGAAGATGAGAGCGAGGACGAGCTTTCACCCCAAGTGCCTGTAGCTACGCCGCGCGTGGTCGGGAGTGGAGTACAGCCACAGCAGACACCGCAAGAGGGGACAGAAATGACCGTCGATGAGCTATCTCCACAGTTACAGCCAATGTCAAATCAGAAGATCCCGACAACATCACAGCCAGTCGAGACGCCTGTAGCAAATGAAGATCCTGGGGAGCAAGTCATGGAATCACAGCCCGTGAAACGTGGACGTGGTAGACCGCGATTATCGGATGGGCACCACACTGAAAGTAACACTCCAACAGTCGCTTCGGCGAAGTCTGTGAAGCGCACAAGCCCTCGTGAAGAATCCAACGTCCGAGAGAGCGAACCCCAAGAAACACCGGCGATTCGCAAGTCTGTTAAAAAGAAGAACAAAGAACCTATCACCAAAGTTGCTGATGAGACTGTCGACGACCTCTCACCTGCTCGTGGCAAAGCAGGTGCAAGACAGAGAGATAGTGTAGAAGTCTCCAGTGTACACGAAGCGTCAGCCGGAGAAGGTGATTCTGCGCTAGAAGAAGAAGCGGAACCCACCCCTCAACCCGTCTCCAAGCGATCTGCTCCCGAGCAAGCACCACGTGTTAAGCCTTCAACGGAAAATCCACCCCGCAAGCGTCAAAAGCTTGTGGGGCCAACACATACTATCTCGGTGATGCGCATAAAAGGCTCTACAGTTCGGGGTGTTACTGCGGCAGATATCACGCGCTCGATCCTAGAAGATAACATTGACCATCGTCTCAAGCGCATGGCTGAAAAGCTGCAGAACTTGCAAGATTCCGACAGCCGAAAGGAGCTACGAAGTCAGATCAACATGTCGATTACCTTCAAGGAGAGCTTGAATGAAAAGCTGATGGATTTACAAGATGCTAACGATGTCCTAAGCACGAATTTCCAAAAGATGAAGCTACTGAGACGTGCTAATGCCGATTTACGCAAAGAGATGCTAGGCCTCCAGAACAGTAGACAGGAAATCGCCATGGAGCAGGACGATATCCAGACACAGTACCACGCTGAGAAAGCCAGGGTGGACGCTCAGAATACGCTCAGCGACAACATGTTCGCTATTGAGGCTGCGATTAAAAACGGTCGTGCTAAGGCGCGCAAAGAAGGAAGAGAGAATGAGGGTCCAGAAATGCCACTAAGCATGCTACTAGACGGCGTAGCGAAGGATGTCGGCTCGCGTGGTGGTGGGCTTTTGGCCAATGTCAAGGGCTTCAATGGACTTCTAAAGCAGGCTGCGAGCTGGCTAGAGGGAAGAGCCTAATGGCTTACAAAAACACTATTCACTTAGAGGCGTTTTATTCTTGTGTACTTTGGGATACGATACCCGGCACCATGGCCACCCACGAAATGGAATTTCTTCTCACAACCCACCCTTGGGCACGGGTTGTGGCACTTGCAGACGATCGCAACTACATACATATAAGCTGAGTCCATGGAACGTCTGTGCCGTCTGCGTCCGAGGTATTGATGTAGATGTGGCGCGTGCTATCTGGTTGCAGGCTAGCGGCTATTGTTGGTGACGGGCCACTTCTCCGCATTTGCGTTCGTCATGGTGCATAGTGCATCTCACCAAATCCTGTCCGGCTCAGCCGGTACATCATTAGGTTCGTCCCCTACCCAGCTTGACGTGCACACAACTTCAGTTTGACAGCTAAGTATTTTGCCTCCGCCGGACGGGTTTCGTCATTGAGGTGGATTGTTTCGAAATCTCCCTCCTTGTCCGGTCAGAGTCACGCGCTGCTGTTCCACGTATCTCCAACAACCCTCTCTGAACTCCGCTTGCTTGCTTCGTTTGGCCATCTGCGTTGGCACCCAAACGCCTGCGTTAAACACCACGCGGGTGTATAATTGACTAGTACATATCGCAATACAGACGGTGCCCTTGTTTTCGCTTGCGAGCGGTGAAACCAACGCTAACTAGAGCCGTTACCGGACTCTTCACCTGTGACGCTTATCACCAGACCATTTCTTTACCGATCGTGAACCAAGACATCCCACCAGACTAAAACATACCTCAACTGACTTGGACTGCCACCATTTTTCAACGTTGTTTCAACTCCTTCAGCATGGTTCACGCGCCTCTTACCATCGACAAGGGTTACACTATCACACCCTTAAATTCCCCACCAGTTCCTTTGGTATCGCCCAGCAAAAACCCTCCTTCGCCTTCCACCAAGTCGCCTCGCCACCCCGTCAATCAGCATTGGGTTCAGGCACAGCAGCGAAAAATATTCATCCAACATTTGAAACAATGGTCCATGGGCCACGATTCAAGCGCGCATTTCCAGGGGAAACTCAGTTTGCTGCCTCCTGATCCACGTAGGAGAGAGGATTTGGATTTGGGTAAGAGCGTGCAGTGCGTGCTTACGGATTCGAGCTTCAAGGATTGTAGGAAGAAGATTGTTGTCAGGCTTTTCAGTCCGCAAATGGGTAAGAGGAAGAGTAAGAAATCTAGTATGATCAGGCCGACGCAAAGGGGTGATATGGACCCTTTCGAAAATAGAGAAGTGTTTACAGAGTGGGAAGAGGGTACCTGTCCATTCACATTCGCTGAAGACGACATGGCCCAGCCAACTTCGCAGGTCAAATCCATTTCCCCGAGCAACTATTATAAACTCGTTGTCCGCTGCGGTTCGGGTTGGCTCTCCGCCCGTGAATATCTCAACAATCTCTACTTCACGCGTCTTGCAATCAAAAACACCAGCCCAAGTGCCAAAACTGTCTCTGACAATGCAGAGCGCGCATTCCGCACGCACTCACCAGCTCTTAGCCCCCAACCGGCTTCAGAAGACACAGTCGACATCCAGCCCTTATTCCATCCATTCCTTCGCCTACCTCAAGAACTTCAAGAAATGATCTTGATGACTGCCGCGGGACTGTCCCGAAACTACGACCTTTCATCTGCTGAAATCAGCTACCGACTGCCATCGAAACACGTTAAATCACCCATCAGTCTATCGACCCTCCTTCGCATTTCTCCCACTATCACAAATACAATGCAGCCATACATTCTCCACCGGACAACTTTCCACTTTGGACTCACAGGAACCACAAACTTCTTGTGGCAATTGGGACCAACCAATCGCTCCAATATTCGGCGTCTCGCTTTTCACTTCGGACGCGGCGCACTCTTACATTGCGTACGCTGGCTGGTACCAGATCCAATCTTCGACCTGCTGCAACCACCGGTGCGGAAGGACCTGGGTGGCCTTCCGTATTTCTGGCGGTGTCAACTTCGCACTTTGGCAAAGGAATTACATCTCGCAGAGCTCATTATCGGTATCCAAACTATGCCTGATGCCGACATTGCTATGGTAACGAGAATAATGAAGGAGTCGTTTGGAAGTGTTGAGAAAATTTCTTTTGTCGATGACTTCCTTGATGGGACCACAAAGTTGCTTGATAGTGCAGATCCGCGACTGGAGGGTGTAGGAAAGGGATCATGGAGGGACATGACTAGCGGGTATGTGGAGAGATATAAGAGGCAGGTGGGATGGCATAACTATCACTTTGGACTTGAGGTTGCGGGCATGACAGAGGAGGAGTTGGATAAGAAGATGGATGGGGAGTGTGAGTTTTTTGATAGTTGACGGGGTTATTATGAATATAGAGATGAGTTTGGAAATCAGGCATAGAGTTTTGCTGTTATCATTGGATATTGGAAGGGGGACTGGGGTGGTAGCAATTCATTACTTGTGGCTGTATGCTGAGGGTGTCTGCTCTTGGATGTAATGTATCGGCATTCATTTTAGAGGGATCTCCACAGATCAAAGTAGATGTCGTGTTAACGTAGATGAGTTGCCTCTCCCCAGACTGCAATTGATAGATTAGATGTAGTAAGCTGGGCCACCTAATTGAGACATTAAGATTATGGAGTGAGCTGCCAAGGTGGGAGAAATAGATATATTGTCTTGGATGATTGACGAGACCTGCATTCAGGGTTGCATAACCTGTAATACCAGGAAATCCCTGCTTGTCAAATTTCTGGTATCATCTTTGCATACATTATGCTCGTTCTTGTACAATAATACTTCAAGAAACCTGGTGTGAAGACTACTCTTTCACATACCAAGCAATGAACTGTGTTGTAATAGTCCCAATACCAACTATCTGAGTAGAAAATGACCCATATTCTACTTGCGAACCACCTATTCAAAATCTCTTACACAGATATTAGCGTTGTGTAAGAATCACTACGTTGCCTTTGTTTTTTGTCGTCCCGAGGATAGGGGATGGCCCAACCGGGATTAGCGAAGTTAGCAAGGCAACAAGCAATCTGGTTGCAGCATCATTTGTCTCTGACATCACCGCTCAAAAACATCAAACATCTTTGAATCCAACTTCATCCACGGTTCTGCAGCATACAGGCCTCCGAGATACAGTGTTTGCTGTCGTTACGGAAAGCGCGGCGCGTTGTTTTGATCACGGAGGGGTTTGCTGCGTGTCTATCTCAATCAAAACAACTTCACTCTAACTCCACATCATTGAATCATTACACCCGCAACTGCCTTGACGATTATATGCTGGATATCTCGGCAGGTACTCTTTTGCTCTGGCGTTCTGCAACTTCCGTTGACAACCATATTGAACCAAATTTCCTATCCTAATAACATCACCCCGCCCTCGACCAAGCAGGTTCCACATGGCAGGCGGCGACAACACAATCAAGTGCAAATCATGCACTAGAGTCCTCGCAGCTGTCACAGCCGATGGGCTCACTCCTGTACAAGCACCAGAAGAGTTCGGATGCAGCACCTGCCAGCGGTTTGGCACACTCTACGATGCTCTGCAAGCTGCAGATATCGAATGGGCGGCTTTCGAAAACAAACGCGATTCCATCACGAAGAGTTTTGCGCGAGACAACCACAAAAAAGCCCGCATGGAATTCGATAACTGGCTCATGACAGTAGAGGCGCTCCCGGTTCCACCGACTGGAGAACGCACTACGCGCATTGAACAAGCAAGTCCGGAGGTGCAGCATGTGTTCCATGGGAGCGAGCAACCACATTTAGGCATTGCGCGTCGAAGATCACATTCGCCAACAACCCAACCTCCTGTAACAGATGAAGAATCACCCAATCCACGGCCGCAGCAATGTGACGCGCCACTGTCTTTTCGGCCGTCGCCCAAGCGATCGCGCAGCATCAATTCCCTGCTTGGACGAAAACGACTCAAGTTTTCAGATACGGTCGAGTTCCACAAGACCTACCGCAGCAGTGATGAGTATCACCGGCCTAGCCAACTGTACGTCAGAGGCCGCAATGCGCCGCCCGAAGGATCGGAGTACATGGACACAAGCGGATCGGGCCAAACATTTCTTAGGTTCACGCAAATGAAGAAAGTGGGCGCAAAATGGGTGGAGCTGAGTGAAGAGGACCTTGCTAAGAAGAGCAAGAGTCCGGCGCTTGCGGTAGCACAGCAGGCCCCTGCAGCAGTAGAGCAGCTGAAGTCGCACAGCAGGAATGAAGATGTGGCTGGCAAGTTGGAACAGGAGGGAGAGGCTCCACCAGATGCTCGTGCAGCCAGGTTGGCCAGACGTGCTGAGGCATCCAGCATGGGCTCAGCGCAGACCAAAAGCACGTCAGGTACTCGAAATCGGGGTAATAGAATGGCGCGCAAAGTGAAGGCACCGTTGCCTGACGATACATCAAGTGGAGTCCAGGAGTCTCTTATTCAGCCGACGCTCTCGCTGTCAACATCAACGGTGCAAGGAATGAGGGCTGATGATACGAACAATGGCCTAAGTGCAACGAATGACGTCGGACAGTGTGATGAGGAACGTGGGGAAAGAACAAGCATTGCGACCATTGAAAAAGCAAATATTGGACGCATGCGCAATGACGAGATACGAAGCCCAGAACCGTCCAACAACGAGCTCCACTTGGAGGTTCAGCATAGTGGGACAGCAGGCGATCGATACGAGTCGATCGAGCGCGATATCAAAGTAATGCAAAGTGGGTTACATTCTGCTATCATCACCCAAAACCACTCAGCCAAGGCCAACGAGTCAGCGACCAAGAGCTCATGCATCAACTGGGAAAACGCCTACATGACCACAACTCTAGACGCGCAAAACGCTGCAGCGACAACGCAACTAGAGTAGATTGAGATATGTACGAGGTGTGCAAAGCACCCGGTGGTACATACTGCACGGCCTCGCAATGTCACATCTACAGCGACAGTAATTCAGCCGTTCCATGATAAAGTAAAGCCATCACGGTGTGTCAGGCAGCAACACCAGGAAGCAAGCAAGCAAGCAGGGCTGCCCCATTGGTCTGGTCAGGAACACGACGTGCAGCAGAACGGGGACACGCCCCCTCCCGTCAAAGTTCGCGTACGTAACGGGGGAAATTTCCCCCAACTCCTATAGGTAGGTTGGCCAAATGGACAAGACCACCAAAGCGCCTTGCCCTGCCCGGCAGTGGTGATACGAAAAGAGGACAAGGGCAGCATCCGATTTCAAACACCCCAGCATCCGATTAAGACCAAATAAGAGAGGGCACAGTTGCATGTAGCTGCAAACAGTGGCTGGGCTGGGGGGAGGGGTGGTCGGTTGGCACCTCGAAGCCCAGACATCGAGCTGTTCAAGGCAGGCCATGGATGCCTTGATTTCCTCTTCCTTCCCTAAACTACGTACCCTTCACCCAATCCTTGGTCGACCCGACACCGTTGCTGGGAGCTGCAAGGACCCTGGCCCGATTACCTCCATGTCCATGTGCCTACGTACGGTTAGCAGGTAGTTTATATTGGCCCGTGGCCGTTGCATCCATCCCACGCAACAAAAAAGACGTGCAGGACCGCCGAAGCGTGCAGAAAGTGCCTAGGCCCCAGTAGGCTCCGCACCACCACTACCACGACCAACCCCTACCACCCCTTCCCACTTCCCGAGACGACTTCAAGTCAGACAGAGAAAAGAGGAGCAAAGATTGACAGGGCTGGGAGTATGTGCGTGGGTTGGTGCGTTGGTGAGGGGTTTTTAATCAGATGAGGAAATGTTTGGCTAGCGTAGAAAGAGACCGTGATGAGAAACTTATTAGACCAGGCGCTTTTGAAAATGAGAGAGCGGATGTATCCCACCGCGCGTGCTTTTGCGTTGTGTTGCGTGTCTTGTGTGTCCTGCCTGACGAGTCAGTTTGCGCCATGTGTGTGTGCATGGGGGATGGCGTAAATATCAAAAGACGAAGTTACGCACGTAGCCAAAGTGCCCGAAGAGACTCCAGGGGGAGGGGGTGTGTTGCATGTATGCCGTGGGATATGTGGCATGTGTATTTAACATAACCATCAAGCAAAGAAGAAAGAAAGAAAATATGGCGAACACTACAACGGAAGAGAACGAAAAAAAAGAACACCCGACCGCACGATATTCCAGCGCTCCCCGTCAAAAAGAAAAACCGTAGAAGGAGAATCTCACTCAGACCTTCTCTCCCTCCCTCTCTTGCTCACCAAGAAAACACGTACATCAACGGCCATCCCGTCTTGGCCCTTCTTCTTCCCATGGGGGGAACAAGGGCACGAACAAGTTGTGGTGGGGTTACCCCCCTGTTCTTCGCATTCTCACCCTCGGCCCCCCCCCACTTTTTTTCTGACAACAACAACAACAACAACAACAACATCAATCAACCCCTTCCTTCTCTCTCACTCTCTTGCTCGTTCTCCCCCCCCCCCCAATGTACGCATTGGGCTGTTTCAGGGCATAAATAACCGGGCAGCGGGTGAATTAGAAGGCGGAGCGGATTTGATGGGTCGAATCGGCGTGATTATTATTTTTTGTTACATTAGTACGAAAGATTTTCCCAGTCCCATGAAGGTGGGTCCCGGCAACCACAGACCACGGCGCGGACATGGGTTATGGGGTGGCTGCCCACCCCCTCCCCCAGTTGGTCACGAACGGTGCTGTCTCTCCCATGCCTTGTCAACCGGAGAGACGGGGGGTTGGTTGGTTGGTCGGGATGATGATTATGATGATGGGGGGGGCCTCTTTTCCCTCTTTCGCCTTTTTGAGTCTTGCCTCGTTCTGCTGCGCTGGGCCTGGAGACGAACGGCAAATCCCGCCCTGTCGGATGCGCTGCCGCTGCAGCGGCTCTTCTTTTTGCTTGCCTTGATTTCCTTTGATCCCTGGCTTTGCTCATCTTTTTGGGGGGAAGGGGTGGGAGGGGGCCCATCGGTGCGTGGGCGCGTATGCTCGGCATACTTGGAGAGCTTGGGCCTTTGCTTTTTCGTTCATATCGCCCAGAAATACGGGATAAGGTGGTGATGATGATGATGATTATGGGATTGCATTCTATTGGTCTTTTCTGGCCTTGCTTGCTTTCTTGCTTCCGCTCTTTTCCCTTGCAATGGCGTGATGGTAGCCGAGTTGCGGATTGATGAAGGGTCGGATTTGTAGTGTAGTGTGTTCGGCGATAGATCTCACCTAGTAGGCTTACTACGTACGTATGAAGTTTTGCATTAGCTTTGGGCATTTTTATTTCCTAAATGGGTTTCGGTGATTATGGTTTTAGTGTATCGCGTTCATCCTATCTCTATGTTCTTCAGAGCCTGTTGGTGTGGCATCTCGGTGAATATTCAAGATCATGATCTTCGGTGAAATGGGCGGACAAAATCCTGGTCGTGATAATAATAGTAGTATCATGGATGACAGTGATGCTTAATTCTTGCTATCGATTTTAGTTGTTTTTGCTCCTGCGTTTCACCGTGTAGACAACGGCCACGGGGAAATGCAACGGATGTCGCAGAACATACCTGTTTGCGGTGATGGTAGGGGTCAGTGATATGCCTAAGCGAGGAGGAGGGGGTGCGGGATGTGGGTTGCGAGTACCTATAGCCGTTACATAGCAGTTTGGCTTGCGACAGTACTGCATACATAAATTGATATGAGACATGCAGGCATGGCCCCTGTATATCTTGTGGCTCGTATCATTTCTCGTTTGATTGTCGCCTTTTGCTGTATGTACCTGCTAATAGTATCGCCGTACGAATAGCGATGGGACAGGGGCGTATTTGGAAAAAAGGCAAGTGGAAGAATGTACAGGGGACTGGATAAACCGGATGCTGGGATTTGTTTCCCGTATGCACGTGATTACGACTAGCGACCTGGGTTCTCGGGCGAAAAAAGGAATGCCCGTTCGCACTAGTAGAAACACCACAGTTTTCTTGAGATTGTCGCACGTGGTTGCATTTATAGAAATACGTTCATGTACAGAATACGATGGTTATTGACCGATGTGTCTGCTAAATAGAACAAACTGTGCGGTTTTTGTGCACGTGAAGAAGACAGCTGCGTGTTCTACGTTGACCGTTCAATGCGCGAGAGAAGGAAAAGGCCGATCGTTGTGAATTCACCGATCAATGCAAAGACGCAAAGGAGTATTACTACAATCTCTCCTAACGAGTCGGGAGTTTTCTAGCAGCGGAAGGATTGTTCCTGCAGAAGGCGCTGCGCTTTCGCTTAGCGCATCATACTCGCCTCCTCTGACGCTCCTTTGTTTTTCTACAGAGGAGTGGGTGGGGATACCAGCTTGCCGGTATCCGTGGAGAAGCGAGAGAAAGTCGGCCTAGAACATTGTCAAAGCTTAATCGTAAGTATGTTTGTAGTAGTAGACTTGTATACAAGCGAGGAGAAAAACTCCGATGCCAATAACAAGGCAGAATACACAGACATGTCGGATGTTTGGTTCAGACGTGTAGATTGTGTGGAGGCTCACCGGACGAGAGTGGGGGCAGAGATGATCGTGTACAGCGGGATGCCTATTGAATGGGCTACTTGGTATGATTGCGCCTCATGTCCGCACTATTGCTTGCTTCATTTCCCCACTGTAACCCAGGGGTAGGCTATCGATCAGGTCGGTGGCAATCGGCGTGAGTGAGTAAGACGTGATCTAGGGGAGTATGAGGGCAACTGGACCGTCCGGTGGTCAGCGAGTGTGTACCGAGATGGCGGTATTCTCCATAAAATGGATCCGACGTAATTCACGATCGCCTTTAGCTTCCGATATGGATGGGGTTCCCCAGGACGCATTGTCGAGGTGGAGTCGAGTGGCATTACTAGACAGCCAACATTGGCCGAGAGTGCAGGCCTGATGTCTTGAGCAGTGTCAACCGTGTGTAGATCATTGTGTTAAGGCTGCACAAGGCGACGAACGGCTGAGGAGTCTAAGGAATTGGGGGGGTTCTTGGCGGAGTTGGCTTGCGCCTTGGGTGTGATGAGCGAGTAATGCACATGGAATTTTCTCGTAACGAGGAGAATGCGGTGTTTGGGTCGCCAGCAGGTCGGCAAAGCAAGCGTATGTAGGCGAGTTGAGCGCGTGACTGTTCTGTATGCAGAGTGGACAGGTGATTTGTGTGGTGATATTGTGCAAGGTGCTGACGTCACATGTACGACTTGAATGGCGGCGGTCGTCGAGCCAGTGACAGAGGCGATGCTGTGTCGCCAAGTGGTGCGCCATTGTCGTCGTCGGCAGATATCAGAGAAGGAGAGAAGGAGGACGAGTGCGGTTTGGCGCGCAAACCGGGCCGGGCGCTGTCTCCTCTTACCCCCCCCCCCCCCAGCAGCCGGATCGATCTATCCATGTCACCGGGATCCGGGCGGCTGTGAGCAATTTGGACGCAGTTAGGCCCGATGCGGACAGGAAGCGTCGATCTCCGACGAACCTCGGGATGGGCCAAACAAGACAACACGCATGTCTGTAACCGTAGTTTGGTGGTGTCTGGCGTCGGCGACAGCGGCGTCTTCAGAGGGACGAATGGAAAGCAGGCGACGCGTAAACGGGCAAGAAAAATATTACATTAGAGTTCAGCCAGGTGGACGGTGGGTGCGGCTGGCGCGCGGGGCTAATTTCCACGCACCCGTGCTTGGTGGTGGGGGTGCGGCAAGCATCGCCAGAAGCCCGACAACCCTGCCTGACGACATGTTCAGACATGCATTCGAAGAAACACATGTGCAGATGGAACGGCGGTGAAGCCGTAACGTGCGTAAGACGATAGCAAACGGGAGCAGGCTGGCCTTATGGTCACGCTCCAAGTCGGGGAATACGGCTTGGGTGGCCCTGCCACATCATTCCACGTCGGCGTTTGTGATGATGATGATGATGATGATGATGATGA